CGGCACGCATGCGCGCCATGCTTCGTCCTGCGCCCCGCTTGCTCCCTGGTGGAAGCGGCGCGGCCCGAAGGGTCCCCCGCGTGTCTCCTCGCGGACTATTTTTACTATTCTGGGGAGGAGAATATATATGTATATACACATGTATATCGTACCCCTCGGTCCCTGTTTTCCTCCCGCTGCCTGGGCACTTCCGCTTCCGGCTGGGTCCGTGGCCTGGGTCTCCACGCCCCCTTTGTTCCAAAATGGCGGTTGGGAGCTCGCCCACTTCACGTGGGCATGGGCACGCCCGCGGCGTGGGCCAGCCCTCCCTCCGCGACCGCCACGTGCGCCGAGTCCTGCGGGTTAGCCCGCGCAGGGGTCCTCGCTGGTCTTGGGGGATCTCGGGTCACCGCGTGTGACGTGGGTTCCCTCGTGAAAGAGGCGCGCCTTGTGCGATTTTAAGGTGTTCGTGTCCCAGGCATACGTCCTGCCTACACGCAGGCGGTGGAAGTGGCAATGATCGCAGCGTTAGTCCCTCACCGTTCTCCCGCTAGACAAACTCCACGCCTTGTCCGGTCCCAATTCGGGACCTCTAGACTGCAAATCACCTCAACATCTAGAGATGGGGAAACTGAGGCACTGAAAGAGTAAAGGGCCTGGTCCAGTTGGGTGCCATAGGGGAAGGTGGGCAGCAAAGGCCCTCCCCGGGGGCCATGCAGGTGCCCTTCAACTTGGAGAGTCCCAAGAATTTTGGAACTGGTAGAGCCCTTCGACGTTTGAAAAGTTCCTCTTGTCTCATTATTTCCGTTTGGGGGCGAAGAAACGTAGACCCAGGGAAGGTGGGGAGGTTGAGGCTCATGCTGCCCGTGGTCGAAGGGCTGCGTGCGGGCGCCCGAGTTCTCTGAACCGGCCTGGAGTTGGGGCTGAGGGGCCGTGCCTGAGTGCCCGGGGCTTGTCTTCCTTTCTGTGCATGACCCGCGTAACAGCACAGGCCTGAGAGTTGAGCTGCCTGGGTTCAGACAGCTACTTTGATGCTTAGCTGTGCTGCTCTCATGTCTTCGTGGCTGTTTGTTTTAATGGGGGGAGTGGCCATTCGTTTGCCACGGGGTTTCTGAAATTAATAAGGGTGGTAGTAATGACAGTCTCAGTGCATGCCACGTGCCAGGCACTTTGCTAAGCTCTTTGCACAGATTTTCTAAGTGGACCCTTACAACAGCCCCCTGAGGCTGAAATAATTTTTCTTTTGTAGAAGAGGAAACAGGCTCAGGAAGTTTTAAAACTTTCCCAGGCCTGATCAGAGGCAGAGTTGAGATTAAATAGGGTAACATAGGTAAAGTGTGGGGGCATGTGAGTTGGTACACATTAAATGGCCAGTAAGGGGTATTTTTCATTGTGAAATCTTTCCTTGCGTAGTAAGGTCTTTAGCTCCCTCAGAGATGGGTGTCACAGTTGGGGAAGGTGCTTTCAAAACATCCTACTGCCAAGTCCTCGTGCACCCTCTTTTGAAGGAGAGAAACCCGAGTTTTGGAGGGTTGGTGCTGTTGCTGGTTTCATGTGAGCAGGAGAGCTGACACTGTCGGGCTCTGGCTGGCAGCTAGGCCTGGTCTGCTGTGCTGGACTGCCATGAAGCTGGCTGAGACCTTCCTGGAGGCTCTTGCCCATGTGCAGGGCCCTTTTGGTACTGGGAGGCCAGGCCACGCTCTCAGCCCTCCCCTGTCCCCTGGGTTGGTGGTGCAGTTCCCACACGGTGGCCACAGCATTTTGAACACCTGAAGTTCCCTCTCTCTCCAGGTTCGGTGTGTATGGGGGGAAGCACTGCTCACTTGTTGCCCAACTGTGGGTCTTTGTGTCTGAGCCAACCCCCTCCTGACTCTACCCCTACCTAATGCACCTGTGTCTCCAGGGAGTTAATTTCCTGATCTGCGTCCCAGGCACCCAACAGGCGTCACCGCTTCCTCTGAGAGCCTTAGCCACAGGAAAGACCCTTGGGGCTCTCAGTGCAGCCTGCCTTCTCACAAGCACAGAACCAGAGCCTGTGTGCTTACTTGCCCCCCTCACACTACCCTCCTGTTTCCAGTATTTGATTCATTTTTAATATTTTGCTTTTAAGGGGATAGTCCCGTTGTCATTAGTGGTTCCATCCAGACCCCAAGTGCTCTGCCTG